GATCGACAGGTGATGCTTATTCCTCCATGGTCCCTGATCCCACATCAACATTGTGAACTGGTTTAAGATTTCTTTATAGCATACACGTTTATTTCTCCTCTTTTATGTAATTGTTGCTTTGCATAAAAATATTTTGAAAAATATCGGTATTAGATCTTAGAATATTTATCATAGGACCTCGACTGTTTGACACAATTTCAAAGAATGTTTGAAAAATGTGCATAAACTATCCTTTTATTAGCTCACCTGAGCCGAAGGCTCAAGTGAGCTTTTCTGATCACATTTTGTCTGTATTCCGTCTGTCCGTCTGTCTGTCTGTCTGTCTGTAAACTTTTCACATTTTCGACTTCTTCTCAAGAACCGCTGGACCAATTTTAACCAAACTTGCCACAAAGCATCCTTGGGTAAAGGGGATTCAAGTTTGTTCAAATGAAGGGCCACGCCCTCATTCAAGGGGAGATAATTGGGAATTAATAAAAAATTGGTGGTATGTTTTAAAAATCTTCTTCTCAGGAACCACTGTGCCAGGAAAGCTGAAACTTATATGGAAGCATTCTCAGATAGTGTAGATTCAAGTTTGTTCAAATCATGACCCCCGGGGGTAGGGCGGGGCCACAATGGCCGACCAAAGTTTTACATAGAAAGATATAGAAAAATTCTTTAAAAATCTTCTTCTCAAGAACTACTGTACCAGAAAAGCTGAAACTTATACGGAAGCATCCTCAGGTAGTGTAGATTCAAATTTGTGCAAATCATGACCCCCAGGGGTAGGGCGGGGCCACAATGGCCGACCAAAGTTTTACAAAGAAATATATATGAAAATTCTTTAAGAATCTTCTTCTCAAGAACCACTGTGCCAGGAAAGATGAAACTTAAATGGAAGCATCCTCAGGTAATGTAGATTCAAGTTTGTTCAAATCATGACCCCCCGGGGTAGGGCGGGGCCACAATAGGCCGAATCCAAGTTTTGCATAGAAAGATATAGGAAAATTCTTAAAAAATCTTCTTCTAAAGAACCACTGTGCCAGGAAAGCTGAAACTTATATGGTAGCATTCTCAGGTAGTGTAGATTCAAGTTTGTTCAAATCATGACCCCCAGGAGTAGGGTGGGATCAAAATGGCCGAACAAAGTTTTATATAGAAATATATAGGAAAATTCTTTAAAAATCTTCTTCTCAAGAAAAGCAAAGCTATAACTGATCATATTAATATGGAAGCATCCTCAGGTAGTGTAGATTCATGTTTGTTCAAATCATGACCCCCAGGGGTAGGGCGGGGCCAAAATGGCCAATAAAATTTTTGCATAGAAATATATAGAAACATTTTTAAAAATTTCTTTTCAAGAATAGCAAAGCAATGATTGGTCACGGGACTACTTTTGGAGTTAAACTTTTCAATAATAAACCAATTTCTACTTTTTCCTAGCCACAGTGCTCAGGTGAGCGATGTGGCCCATGGGCCTCTTGTTCCATTTAAAACGTGGATTTATTGATTAGTAAACATACCTTTATATTCCATGGGTTCCCATTGCGAATTATTATTATCAGACCTTTTTTGTACTCATATAAAGCAAAATTTATTTAAAATCACATATATGAAAAAAATAAAACATACTATGTGGCTTTCGCGTCAATATTTTGATAAATCGCAACGTAAAAGCAATTGATCAATTTATCCCAGTGCTTTTAAATGCTTAGATAAGCCAAAAATCTGACATACATGTTTCATATTTGGATATTTTATTTTTAATTATAGGAATCAAACTCTTGGGTATCCTTTACTTTAAAATCTACTGGCTATATCAAATCAACGAATAATGAAAATGAATATTTTTATTTTTTACAGATAAAATGTCATAACATGTATATCTACTCGTAAAGGTTGAAGGCCACAGCAAAAAGCTTTCTAGAAAACACTTTATTAATAAATGATATACACATGCATTAAATATTTTTCACATATGAGTATCTATTTTCATAAGTAACAATTTTTCACTGAAGAATTTAAAAACACGTTTTTCCCTGTAAAAAATGTTAGGCAGTTCCACTGATTGCCGTTCTAGGTAGTATTTGCCCCTATTATATCCATTCTGAAAAACAGAACAAACGAATGAAAATAAAATCTCATGTGTCTTTTTTTCTAATTTCATGCATTAGTAATTAGCAAATTTCATCATACTAAAATTTTATTTTAGAAAAATAAGTAGGGATATACGTACCATTAAAAAGTCATGAAAGCTGAGATTCACAAGAATAAAATGCATTACTTCATATATAGTGAAAGAAACTTATAATGAAGCACAAGGACGGGAACTTTTGCTTCATTTTAAATAATTTGTTAAACATAAGTCCACAATATATCTAAAAGCCACAATGAATGAAAGCCAATTTGCTGTAAGTTTCAAATTTTTAAGTGTATTAATTAATTAACAAAGTACACGTCTTGTATGTCATTATTTACGCATGTTGTTCTTCGTACTCGTGATTACATTATAGTCCAGTCTGTGGCTGATTTGTTGATGGGGCGAAGTCTACTTTTAGTGTCTGGAGAAGAAATTTACTTTCATCTGAAATAACTATAATTTAGGTAGGATTTTCTTGGCAATAACCCCTAAAATATTGTCTGTGGCTGATTTGTTGATGGGGTGGAGTCTACTTTTAGTGTCTGGAGAAAAAAATTACTTTCATCTGAAATAACTATAATTTAGGTAGGAATTTCTTGGCAATAACCCCTAAAATATTTTCTTAGACTATATTTCTCATTCTAACAAAAAAGATTAATTAATTTGGGAAATGAATAGAGGTACTAAGGTTCATGATAAGAAACATAACTCGTTTAAAACGACATAATTAAGTATAATTCCTCCATAATTTTAAGTGTCTTTTTGTCTAAATTGTACTGATACTAACTATATTTTTGTTGTATAATTTTGTAAAATCATGAAGTAATATACGAGTATTTATATGAATAAATAGAAGGTCAACAAACTCACAGACGCACAATAGACATAAAGAGAGAATGTTTCTTAGAATCGAGTAAGGTCAGAGAAATATTAATGTCTGAACTGTAAAGCAGTGGTTGTCATCTGGCTGGAAAGAAAACATAATCATAAAAACATGTAGTGAATAAAAAATTACATGAAAAAGGTAAAATAACTACTATTAGTATGATTAATTTTAAAAACTCTATATTTGTGATACAAAATTGATTTTAAAAATTGTGCAAGATAAAAATTTATCGAAGAAGAATACACTTACCTTAAAGATTCCATCGCAGATATAATTCAAACAATCGATCGTTCGCGATTCGCGATAAAAGTTAGGAAAGTTGCAATGCAGTTGAGAGCAATAGAGAAGCAATAATACACAAATAAAACAATACTTAAATAAAAATATTCAAAATAAACAGGTGCATTATAATGTGTCTGAACATTAAAAAAATGCACCAGAAATTAAACAAGAGGCCCAGGGGCCACAGCGCTCACCTGAGCACATCAGCTAGGAAAAACACATATCAGATCAGAACTGAAAGTTAATTTAAGTTGGGGGGTTGAATTTTAACCCCCAAGGGGATCATAATTTGAACGAACTAGAATCTACATTACCTGAGGATGATTCCATACAAATATTACTAATTCTGGCTTTGAAGTACTTGAAAAGAAGATTTAAAAAGGTTTCCCTATATATTTCTATGTAAAACTTTGGTCGGCCATTTTGGCCACACCCTTACCTCGGGGCCATGACTTGAACAAACTTCAGTCTACACTACCTGAGGATAATTTCACATGAGTTTCATCTTTCCTGTTTCAATGGTTCTTGAGAAGAAGATTTTTCCTATATATTCCTATGTCAAACTTCGATCGGCCATTTTGGCCCGCCCTACCCCCGGGGGTCATGACTTGAACAAACTTGAATCTACACTACCTGAGGATGATACCACATGAGTTTCATTTTTCCTGGCCCAGTGGTTCTTGAGAAGAAGATTTTTAAAGATTTTTCCTATATATTCCTATGTCAAACTTTGATCGGCCATTTTGGCCCCGCCCTACCCCCGGGGGTCATGACTTGAACAAACTTGAATCTACACTACCTGAGGATGATACCACATGAGTTTCATTTTTCCTGGCCCAGTGGTTCTTGAGAAGAAGATTTTGAAAGATTTTTCCTGTATATTCCTATGTCAAACTTTGATCGGCCATTTTGGCCCCGCCCTACCCCCGGGGGTCATGACTTGAACAAACTTGAATCTACACTACCTGAGGATGATACCACATGAGTTTCATTTTTCCTGGCCCAGTGGTTCTTGAGAAGATTTTTAAAGATTTTTCCTATATATTCCTATGTCAAAATTTGATCGGCCATTTTCGCCCCGCCCTACCCCCGGGGATCATGACTTGAACAAACTTGAATCTACACTACCTGAGGATGATACCACATGAGTTTCATTTTTCCTGGCCCAGTGGTTCTTGAGAAGAAGATTTTTAAAGATTTTTCCTATATATTCCTATGTCAAACTTTGATCGGCCATTTTGGCCCCGCCCTACCCCCGGGGGTCATGACTTGAACAAACTTGAATCTACACTGCCTGAGGATGATACCACATGAGTTTCATCTTTCCTGGCCCAGTGGTTCTTGAGAAGAAGATTTTTAAAGATTTTTCCTAATATATATTCCTATGTCAAACTTTGATCGGCCATTTTGGCCCCGCCCTACCCCCGGGGGTCATGACTTGAACAAACTTGAATCTACACTACCTGAGGATGATACCACATGAGTTTCATTTTTCCTGGCCCAGTGGTTCTTGAGAAGAAGATTTTTAAAGATTTTTCCTATATATTCCTATGTCAAACTTTGATCGGCCATTTTGGCCCCGCCCTACCCCCGGGGGTCATGACTTGAACAAATTTGAATCTACACTACCTGAGAATGACACCACATGAGTTTCATTTTTCCTGGTTCAGTGGTTCTTGAGAAGAAGATTTTGAAAGATTTTTCCTATATATTCCTATGTCAAACTTTGATCGGCAATTTTGGCCCCGCCCTACCCCCGGGGGTCATGACTTGAACAAACTTGAATCTACACTACCTGAGGATGATTCCACATGAGTTTCATCTTTCCTGGCCCAGTGGTTCTTGAGAAGAAGATTTTTTAAAAATGCCAATAATTTTTCTCTTAATCATGATTATCTCCCCTTGGAAAAGGGCGTGGCCCTTCATTTGAACAAACTTGAATTCCCTTTACCCAAGGATACTTTGTAGCAAGTTTGGTTGAAATTGGCCCAGTGGTTCTTGAGAAGAAGATGAAAATGTGAAAAGTTTACGACAACGACGACAACAACGACTACAACGACTACAACGACGACAGACAACGGACAAATTTTGATCAGAAAAGCTCACTTGAGCCTTCGGCTCAGGTGAGCTAAAAAAACATTCAGGAAAAGTAAGAATGAAAAATTAAAAAACTTTATTTTTTTTTAAATGGTTGTCGTATCTAATGCTTATAAATCTTTAAGATACACTTTTAAATAAGACTTACTGGTGTTTTTTATTATGTCTGTAGAAATCAATACCAAGGGCTTATTTGAAGACATCATCAATAACGTTGTCCAATTCGCTGTAATATAATTCATACTTGATTTATTCGTAATTTTTCTACTTTTTGAGAGAATAATAAGATTTATCAATAGCGTTGATGTGGTATATGATATGCATTCAGATATACGCGTGCTTGCAATGCCAAAAATTGCAATATACTTGGTATATTTCAGGGAAAAAAAGTTGTTAAAGTCTAAAATGCATAAAATGTGCCTTGTTAAATGAAGCTTTATGGAAATAAAGCACCGAAAAGGAGTTGGGGAGCGTTTTGGGAAAATCTGTAACGATTCCTGTTATAATATTAGCCCTAGTTATTTATGTTAGTGAAGAAATGAACTTTACTTGTATCACTCGTTGTTGATTGCACTGGTGTTGTTGTTGGAGTTGTTGATATTGTAACAAAGATTTTGGAGAAGTGTGTGCTTGATGACTGAGGAACAGTGCTGTACTCTGTTTCAATGAATAAATATCTTAATATACCCACTGAAGTAATTGTATCTGTACTCTGTTTCAATGAATAAATATCTAAATATACCCACTGAAGTAATTGTATTGAAAGTACGCAAGAGTATCAATATACGTGTAATTGATATTTTTTAAAATTTTCTTTATCAGAAGAGTAATGGATTTCCATATTATGATATATAATTAATAAAATCTACGTTCTGTACCGGTTATACATCCTTGTCCGATGAGAGAGTCACGTGATGCAGACCACGTGAACAGATTCCTAACATCCATTTGTGTGGAAGAGTATGTGCTGTTTGGGGCATTTGCTATATACAGGGGATATACTGTAGGCTGAGCGGGGTTTGGTAATTGGATTGAATGAGACATGAATACTTTTCCATCTAAGTAAACTATAAACCCGTCTTTTTTGTTCCAAGAAACTTGGTAAACGTGCCATTCTCCAGCATTAACATCCAGTTTATGTCTAGTACTCCATAAAACATTATCTTTCTTTGTAGAACAAATAAGGTCACCGTGCCAGAGGTAGACAGCCAGGCCGCTTGCTCCAACTTGATCCCCTCCGCTGGAGAGTATGTATCGCTTGTCGGTGGAATTCATGTCCTTAAGTTTGATCTCAGCACTCAGTGTAAACCCATGATCACATTTCGTCATATCTTGGATACATTCTAGTCCGTAATTTGGCAGTTCTACATACTGGCCATCTCTCAGGAGTTCGAGAATTATTGCTTTTCCATTTTGCTCAGACGTTAAACGTGGATTGCCATGGACAGTAAAATTGTATGAAGGCGTGATTAATACGTTTCCTTCAATTTTATTGAAAGTAAAATCTAACGTCTGCTGACCACAGGAAGCAGTTGTGGCTTGGCCTAAAGTCAATCAGATTTATGCATCGTGTAACAATGATGGTTAACAAATAGAATGATATTTAAATTAGTAAATGAATTTTCTTACCTGTTTTTGTTGTAATCGATGCAGTGGATGTTGTTTGTTCTGCCGTGGTTGGAATAGGAGCTAAAATGTAATTATTTGAAGGAAATTTATTCATATAATTTCTAATCTATCTCAGTTAAAATAAAAAAAATAGTAATACTTACTAGTAACCAATCCATTAATCATAAGGTTTTCCCTATGAGAATCAAAAGTTTGCACTCCACTGACGGTCATAGAGATGGACACGTGATTATGATAGCCGTATCCTATTGTAAGTGGCATGACCTGATGAGCCACTGTTGGTTGTGGTTGGCTTACAGAACCAGCTAGGTTATTATCAATAACAAGTAAAGACCCGGATGTCTGGCTCCAGGAGAGCTCGATCTTGTGCCAGACATTCAAGGTCAGGGTATTTGGTACCGATATGATCCACTGTTTTGATGATGTTGTAACAATAAAATGTAGTTTATTATTTTGGTATAAGAGAGCTATCCCCTTGTGATTCTGAAGGTCTCCGCCACTGGATACAATGTACGTGTTATCAGTAAGTTGATGAAGATTCACGTTAATCGCAAGAGTAAAACCAGACGAACACGTGTCAATGTTCTTAAGACAGGCGTTGAATCCCGTGTTGTTGACTGTGATATAACTGTTCCCTGTTAGGTTTATTGCCTTTCCAAAAACACTGTTAACAAGGGTTGCAGTTCCGTGAATGTTAAACGTAGTTTGCAAGCTTGTGTGAATAACATTCTGTATTATTTGTGTAAATCCTAAATTAAGGTGCACCATATTTGAAGCTGTAAAGAAAAAAGCACGAGAGAAAAGCTCAATGATTCTACACTTTCAACCGTTTGAATGCCATTTTGTTACTTAAGAAAGCAGACTTACTTTGTTTATCACATCTGTCCCCATAGAATCCAGGAGGACATTTGCAAACATCGACTCCAACACATGTCCCTCCGTTCTTACAGAAATTTCTATTACAAAGACCTACAATATAAACAGAATTAAAATATACATGTAGTCAAAACTATTTTCGTATATGTAATACAGTTTTGAAAAGGGGTATGCTTAAAGCCATAGATGGCGTATGTACAATGAAAATTATCAGGCTCAAAATCATAAGAACGTATTATTTGTTTTATTACTTTATATAAAGATAGAACTTTTCTGTAAATTACAAAATCTAAGTCAATTGCGTTATAAAGATATCACAATTTAATTTGGATTATTGGAATTTTCTCCGACTCGGAAGAAAATACTAAAGATTTAAATAACACATTACAGAGAAGATAAAATCGTATTATTAGTAGAAACGAGGCGTTTTCCGTGTTCAGAATTGTATGAAAAGTTTTAATTTAAATGTATTAATTATATTTCTTTACTAATTTTGTATTTTTCAAAAATATATTTTTTGATCAGTTACGCCATATATGGCTTTAATATTAATTTACTCAAAAGATGTAATACTTATACTAATACTAATAAAGCAGAAGTATTACCTGCTGGATCGCACCCAATGACCTCCATTCTAAAACAAGCTGCTGTATGGTAAGTTTCTGGATAAATTCTAATAGCATCTGTGACGATGTATGGATTCACTCCGATATTGTAGTATAACGTGGAGTTGTAAATTGAGGGTATGTGCTAAAGAAATTTAAAGTGCTATCTCATCTTAACTCATTAATTATTATTGACAATAATATACAACTATCCTAAGTATATGTATACCATATGAAAGCTACGCCATTCTCTGATGGGATCTATAGCAGATATGAATTCCAGTTCAAAAGTCTCCATGTACATGCTAGGGAACGTGTGTGAATCTTTTTGACTGGGGTGACGAAAATTCAAACCAGACACGGCCATAGGTTTAGGAAAACTGACTTCAAGCCAAGGCTGGTGGTCGCTGGATGCTGGACACCACGCTCCATTTTCTTCTTCTGTATGGTGCATTGATTGTATTTAATATTCTGTATAGGCGGAATTCTTCAGATAAATCTTATTATATGGAAATATAGTAATGTTTTACCTGTACAGCAGTTGTATCGGACCTTATCTTTTGTTTTCCCTGCCGCTGACGATGACACAGATATCATACTATCTGTAATGGCCCCGCTAGCCAAACCAAGGGCAGTTCTACACACTGTTAAATATTTGGATTTAGGTAAAGTATACTTGATTACTTGAAAGATATGTGATGATTTAATTGTACATGTACTGTGATTTAAAAATACTCACCAGGATTTGAAACTGAAATAGAAAAGAAAGAAGAATAATGATGAATTTGTTATCAAACATTTATTGGAAAGCAAACCGTTTAAATTTTATGTAAGTTTTTCGAAAATAGTCTTCAGTTGAATGTTAGTAATTTTTACTTGCACCCTACATATTAGATACTTTGTCATGTACAATAATGTCATCAAATTTTAATAAACTGTGAAGATATCTATATCGACATTTCAAATTAGTCAACCTTATAAAAGTCAAATTATATGATTTATCTTATTGTATTAGACTAAAATAGGCATCTGCTTAAATATCTCTTTTTCGTTGTCACAACATCTCTTTTTGTTGCATTTTTTTTTTGCAACTCAACATCTAACGGCATACTAATTTCATGCATATATAAAAAAAATTATGATGATTTGGATAAGTGAATCAAAACAAACTAGTGCTAATTGTAACGGGGACCGTTACAGATGTTCCCCAAACGCTCCCCAACTCCAACTGCCATATTCCCTGTAATCTCTATTAAATGAGAAATACTTTATGAAATTTAGACTTAATCAAGGTCTTCCCAGAAAAATACAAAATATATTTAAAAATAGGCATTGCAAGCGTGTTCATGTGCGTAACGACCATATTATCTTGTCTACAATATCTAAAATATTAATATACTTCATATAAAAGCATTTAATCCAAAAGTTTTAAAAAATACACTCTTTCGAATGTATTTTTAATTTTACTCATTTCACGTGCATGCACGTGCATAATGACTATGCCTTCTTGTAGGAGTCCCTTATATTTATCTATGTACTAAATCCCATCCTGTTTGGTTGAAAAACAAGGGAGTTATAGCCATTTGAAGTTTCAGCCAATCAGATTGCAGCACACATGCATGCGCGTGATTTCATAAATTTTTATCTTTATCGTATTGAAGGATATTTAAATGAATGACTATATTTTAAAATTCCAACATTTCGTCAAAAAACAAAGGAGATATAGCCATATAAAGATTCAGCCAATCAGATTGCAGCACACGTGCATGCGCGTGATTTCATGATTTTTTTTCTATATCATATTTTAGGATATCCTAATGCATGACTTTGTTTTAAATTTCAAAGCATTTCGTCAAAAAACAAAGGAGATATTACCATTTAAAGTTTCAGCCAATCAGATTGCAGCACGCGCGCATGCGCATGCTTTCATGAAAATTTTTATATATCATGCTGTAGATCTTCATAATGTTGGACTACGTTCAAAATTTCAAAAGATTATGACAAGAAACAAGAAAGATATTGAGACTTTAGTTTCAGCCAATCAGAGCGAAGCGCACGTGCATGCGCGTGAGATCTTGCTATTTTGACCATGCCATCTAGTCTATACTACTAATGTATCCTTACATTATGAGTTTCAAAAAAATTCATCAAAAAAAAAGAAAAGTTACAGCAATATCCATTATATTGGTCATTTCATGTGTTGCACGTGCGCGCTCTTGCAAGCACGTGCGCGCAAAATGACCTTTGTTTGGCAAATCTACATAACATGTCTACTGACCCTAAAAACATTTTACCTTAGTCAGATGTATAGTTTACGAGATCACTCGTGGACAAAATTTTCCCAGGAAGAAGAAAAATAATAACTAGTGCTAATTGTAACGGGGACCGTTACAGATGTTCCCCAAACGCTCCCCAACTCCCTTTTGGTGCCATATCCCCTGTAAGCTTCATTAAATAAGACAAACTCTATGCATTTGAGACTTTAACAGCGTTTACCCAGAAGTGTACCAAGTTCATTCAAATTTTAGCATTGCACGCGTGCGCTTGTGAATGCATGTGCGTAATGACCGTATCATATTGTCTACAGAATCTATATATTTTAATATACTAAATATTAAAGTATTTAATCCAAAAGTATTTAAAAATACGCTCATTCAAGTGTATTTTTTATTTTACTCATTTCACGTGCACCTACGTGCATACATGAGCATAGTACTACCTTCCTTTAGAAGTCCATTACATCTATCTATATTCTAAATCCCACCTCGTTTGGTTGAAAACCAAGGGAGTTATAGCTGTTTAAAATTTCAGCCAATCAAATTGCAGCACATGTACACACACGTGTATGCATGTGCATGGTAACCATACCTTCTTGTAGAGGTCCATTATATCTATCTATGATCCAAATCCCATCCTGTTTGGTTGAAAATCAAGGGAGTTATAGCTATTTAAAGTTTCAGCCAATCAGATTGCAGCGCACGTGCATGCACGTGTTTTCATGATAATTGCTATATATCACGTTGTAGGATATCCTAATGTATGACTATGTTCAAAATGTCAAGGGATTTCGTCAAAAAACAAGAAAGATATAGAGACTTTAGTTTCAGCCAATCAGAGCGAAGTGCACATGCATGCGCGTGAGATCTTGCAATTTTGACCATGTCACATTGCATATGCTACTAATATATCCTTATATTATGAGTTTCAAAGCATTTCATCAAAAATGTAAAAAGTTACGCCTATTTCAATTAAATCGGTCATTTCACATGTTGCACGTGCACGCTCTAGCAAGCACGTGCGCGCAAAATGACCTTCATTCCGCAAATCTACATAACATGCCTACTAACCCTAAAAAGGTTTTACCTAAGTCAGATGTGTAGTTTACAAGATCACTCCCGGACAAATAAGTACCCAGGAAGAAGAAAAATAATAATAACTAGTGCTAATTGTAACGGGGACCGTTACAGATGTTCCCCAAACGCTCCGGCCCCAACTCCCTTTTGGTGCCATATTCCCTGGATGCTTCATTAAATAAGACAAACTTGATGCATTTGAGACTTAAAAACGTTTACCAAGAAGTGTACAAAGTTCATCAAATTTTAGCATTGCACGCGTGCGCATGTAAATGCATGTGCGTAATGACCATATCATCTTGTCTACACAATCTATATATTTTAATATACTTAATATTAAAGTATTTAATCCAAAAGTATTAAAAAGATACGCTCATTCAAGTGTTTTTTTGATTTTGCTCATTTCACGTGCACGCACGTGCATACATGAGCATGGTGACCATACCTTCCTGTAGATGTCCGTTACATCTATCTATGTTCTAAATCCCACCCCGTTTGGTTGAAAACCAAGGGAGTTATAGCTGTTTAAAGTTTCAGCCAATCAGATTGCAGTGCACGTACATGCACGTGTATGCATGTGCATGGTGACCATATTTTCTTGTAGTAGTCCAGTATATCTATCTATGTTCCAAATCCCATCCTGTTTGGTTAAAAATCAAGGGAGTTATAGCTATTTAAAGTTTAAGCCAATCAGATTGCAGCGCACGTGCATGCACGTGTTTTCATGATAATTGCTATATATCATGTTGTAGGATATCCTAATGCATGGCTATTTTCAAAATTTCAAAGGATTTCGTCAATAAACAAGAAAGATATTGAGACTTTAGTTTCAGCCAATCGGAGCAAAGCCCACGTGCATGCGCGTGAGATCTTGCTATTTTGACCATGTCATATTGTCTATGCTACTAATATATCCTTATATTATAAGTTTCAAAGCATTTCATCAAAAATTTAAAAAGTTACGCCTATATCAATTAAATCGGTCATTACACATGTTGCACGTGCACGCTCTTGCAAGCACGTGCGCGCAAAATGACCTTCGTTCCGCAAATCTACATAACATGTCTACTGACCCTAAAAACATTTCACCTTAGTCGGATGTATAGTTTACGAGATCATTCCCGGACAAAAAAGTACCCAGGAAGAAGAAGAAGAAAAATAACTAGTGCTAATTGTAACGGGCACCGTTACAGATGTTCCCCAAACGCTCCCCAACTCCCTTTTGGTGCCATATCCCCTGTAAGCTTCATTAAATAAGCTCTATGCATTTGAGACTTTAACAACGTTTACCCAGAAGTGTACCAAGTTCATTCAAATTTTAGCATTGCACGCATGCGCGTGTGAATGCATGTGCGTAATGATCATATCATATTGTCTACAGAATCTATATATTTTAATATACTAAATATTAAAGTATTTTATCCAAAAGTATTAAAAAATACGCATATTCAAGTGTATTTTTTATTTTACTCATTTCACGTGCACGCACGTGCATACATGAGCATGGTGACCATACCTTCTTGTAGAAGTCCATTACATCTATCTATATTCTAAATCCCACCCCGTTTGGTTGAAAACCAAGGGAGTTATAGCTGTTTAAAGTTTCAGCCAATCAGATTGCAGCACATGTACACGCACGTGTATGCATGTGCATGGTGACCATACCTTCTTGTAAAGGGCCATTATATTTATCTATGTTCCAAATCCCATCCTGTTTGGTTGAAAATCAAGGGAGTTATAGCTATTTAAAGTTTAAGCCAATCAGATTGCAGCGCACGTGCATGCACGTGTTCTCATGATAATTGCTATATATCATGTTGTAGGATATCCTACTGTATGGCTATGTTCAAAATTTCAAGGGATTTCGTCAAAAAACAAGAAAGATATAAAGACTTTAGTTTCAGCCAATCAGAGCGAAATGCACGTGCATGCGCGTGAGATCTTGCGATTTTGACCATGTCATATTGTCTATGCTACTAATATATCCTTATATTATGAGTTTCAAAGCATTTCATCAAAAATGTAAAAAGTAATGCCTATATCAATTAAATCGGTCATTTCACATGTTGCACGTGCACGCTCTTGCAAGCACGTGCGCGCAATATGACCTTCGTTCCGCAAATCTACATAGCATGCCTACTAACCCTATAAAGGTTTTACATAAGTCGGATGTGTAGTTTACAAGATCACTCCCGGACAAATAAGTACCCAGGAAGAAGAAAAATAATAATAACTAGAAAGTCTGCTATTGCAAGCAATAGCATATGTCGCCCCGTACTGGACAAGACTTTCATTTTTATCATCACTAAAACAATGGTCCATTAGCTAAGCTTGGACAACCATGGAGTCGTATTAGTCCTTTCCGTTGGAAACGGAAGACCTTAATTGGGT